ATATATTTATACCTTTCGAATTATTATTTTTACAGCGGTTATATAGTCTCATTTTTTCAATTACTATTAGAGATTCCTTCTTTAAAAAAATTCGTTCACGTTCTTGCTTGGCCCATCTCCATTGTAATGCGTGTCTATTGCGTGTGAGAGACCGTGTCGCGAAATGAAAAGTGCTCTTTTTCTTTTTTCCTTTTAATTTCTTGTGCGGGTTTTGATATCTCATCCTTCAAATCCCACGGTATAAAATAATGCTAGGTATGTTATTATTGTTTTAATATCTCATCCGATGTTCGGTATTCTATTAGGATCCGATTAAATTTAAATACGCAAGAATTTTTTTTATAGTAGGAGTAAACCGCTTCTTGACACATGCGATTGTATGCTCAAGACTTGAACCCAAAATTTTAAATTAAGAACAAAAAAATACTCGTGTGTGAAGTTCTATTAATGGATTTGGTGTGGAGAGTACTAAAGATGATATACCCTTTATATGGATTTGGTTTCTGCACAAAAATGTAGTTTCAGTCACAACCCTGTATCAGGTGTTGGCTGTTTGGACGAGGAGATTTATTGACTGCTTTGCCGAGCTTCTAAAATTAGCTTATTTTGAATTTTTTTTTAAAGTACTTTTTTAAAATAATTTTTAGTAAGAAATAGTTTGTGTTTGACTAGTTAATTGGAAAAGCACTTCTGAGCAATATTAATGTTTGGCTAAACTTTTAAAAAGTGCTTTTAAGTATATTTTTTTTAAAAGTACTTTTCAAAAAAGTGGTTTTGAGGAGAAACTGCTTTTTGCTATTTCTCCAAAACTACTTCTGCTCTACTCAAAAATATATTTTTTTCTTCTAACAGCTTGGCCAAACACTTCAACTTTGAAATTTTTTTTTTCTTTGTTGGCCTTAAAAAAGCTTCTCCCTGGGCCAAAGGTGCCTTTTTCCCAAAAAGTACTTTTTTCTTAACTTGAACTGTTTAGCCAAGCTTTTTTTCTTTTTTTGGAGGGGGAAGGGGGAGTGTTTTTAGGAAGAAGCAGAAATAGTTTTTGAGAACCAGAAAAAGTAGCTTCTCCGTAGAAGCAGAATCGATTTTGTTTTTTTTTAAAACCAAAACCATCCTTAACAAAATATAATATATACCAAAATAACTTTACTTATTTTAAACGTAATACTTAGGATATTAATGTATAAGTATTTTTTTAATTTTATTTTTTTGGATAATTTTCTAATATATAATGACTTCAGGGTGAATTCTTTTATATTTGCTGAATGATTTTTAATATATGTAAATCATTTTTAAGAGAATTAAAGTAATTTTTATTTTTGTATTTTACTTTAATATAATGAAAGGATTTCATTATTGTCTTTCATAATAAATTTTATAGACTATCTATTTACTTATGATATTAACTATTAAGTAAATCTCTCACGTCCTTATTCGTAATTTGATCTTAAAAGCACTTTTTGAAAAGCTTGAACAAACACAAATTATTGCTCAAAAGTATTTTCAGATTGATTAGCCAAATACAAATAATGAGGTGTTCCCAAAAAAAATAGCAAAAATGCATATTCAAACAAACGTTTATTTTGATTAAATGTATACACATATTTTAAATTGTATATTGCATACTAATTTTTTCATATATTAGACCAACATTTAACAAAAAATAATTCTCATCATAAAATCTTCATTATTAATCCATGTGCTGCAATACATGCAACTAACCTTTGCATAACTTGTCGCTTAATCAAATAATCACTAACTAAGAGGGTGTTTGGAATGGCTTTTAAAAAGTAGTTTATAAGTTAAAAATCAAAGCCATATGTTGGTAATACTAAACTCTTGGATTTTGGCTTATTTTTGTATTTTTCATGCGTGCTTTTAATTTTTATCATTGTCACACACTACAAAAAATTAAAAAAGTGCTTAAAAGCTAATAAACACTTAAAATAAGCCAATCCAAGCACCCTCTTTATTTTAAAATGAAGTTCTTATACTTAATTGTATAGTATAAAGTGAAATCATGATCATTAACTGTAATTCTAAACACAAATAAAAAGTTCATGACTTAAAATTGAGATAATGAGGTGTCAGGTTCAATTCGTATTGAAGTATCAGTTTGTTCTCTCTTATAAGTTGGATTATTATTGGTTATATCTACTGATGATTACTGATGTGTGTTAATTTTGAGTAATTTTTTAAGCTAATATCAACTAAATAGCCCTCCATTTGAATTTATCTAGCATAGTTTGATCGAACTAAGTTTAAAAGGAAAACAAGATTCTGAAACCTAGTCTTAAACATGCCGTGAGATTTCTATGATTATAAAAGCATATCATTAAAAGGTCGTTTGGTTATTGAACAAAATATACTGAAACTATCATATGAAATTTAAATTATAACACATTATTTAGTGGATATACTTTTAGTGGTATACATTTGGTTCATTGGATGAAAAATAAAATATACTGAGTATAATATAAAATGTGTTTGGTTTTTCACTAGATAAATTGGGATACATTTTTATTTTTAATTTTAACCTCAGATTTTCTAAAGGACTTTTGGAAGAATAACCTCAGGGAAAGGCATCTTGATCACTTCGATATTTAATCTCAAAATTAGTATTTTCGAAATTGTTATCCCACATTAAAGGAGGTATAAAAATAATATTACAATTATGATATAACTAATTCTGAAATCAAAATTCAACTTAAAATAATTCTGCATCTCTTATCCCACAATTCATACAACTCCTAGAAGTAAAATGATACATTTAAAACTAAATTATTTTTAATATTGAATTTGTGCTAAGTATTATTTTAAAAAATCAACCGATATAACTAAGGGAGTAGAACAGCTTGTTTAAAGCTTAATCCACCATATTTTCAAGAGTGCCCAATTTCTCTCTCTACCCTTTTACTCTTTTAATTTTTTGTTTAATTTTTTTTTATTTTATTATTGTTTTTTTCCAACAGACCAATATTACGCGGTCCAAATCGACCACAATATAAGCCCCTTTTTTAGGGTTCCAAAAAAACATCCTTACCTTTGTCTTTCAAATCCCCTTTATGTTTTTCTCTTTCCTTGTCTACTGAATTCCTCTCAACTCTCATTACATTTTTCCTCTCATTTTATTGAAACGTAAGATTTGAGAGGCTTCAGAATTTGGAGGTATCAAGGTAAAGCTCATTTTGGGGTACTTGAATTTTGAATCAATTCCTTGATCATATTTAGGTTTTTGTGGGTTTGTCACGGATTTTCATTTGAAAGTTTGGATCTTTGTCTAAGATTGTTCCAATTGTGTATGTAAATTTGGGGTTTCAGCTGGGAAAATCTTGCTATTTGATTGTTTCATGTAAAATCAAGAAATGCCAGCTACAGATTATCAAGGGGCATCTGCATCTTTTACAACATTTGGACGGTCCATTTTGAGCATACGCAATCGTGATCAAGTACATTCCATGGAATCTGCTCATGAGGGCACAAGCCAAGAGCTTGAGCTTGAAGCTTTTCAAAAGCAAGTAGCTGATTGTTTCAATGATTTGGCATCTGCTGACTCTGATCAGCTTCTTTCGATTCCCTGGATTAGGAAACTTTTGGATGTGTTCCTTTCTTGCCAAGAACAGTTCAGGTCCATTGTGTTTAAGAATAAAGGGTGCTTGAATAAATCCCCTATGGACCGTTACATAACAGAATATTTCGAAAGGAGTTTGAAAGCTTTAGATGTGTGTAATGCGATACGAGATGGGATTGAGTTGATCAGGCAGTGGCAGAAGCAGCTGGAGATTGTTTATTATGCTTTGGACAATCAGAGGAGTATTGGGGAAGGCCAAATTCGCCGTTCCATGAAAGCCTTGATTGATTTGGCGATTGGCATGCTTGATGAAAAAGAGTCTAATTCAAGTTTTGCTCATAGAAACAGGTCGTTCGGACGAAACAATGCTCAGAAGGATCATAATTCGTTGGGCCAATTTCGATCATTGTCGTGGAGTGTATCCCGGAATTGGTCTGCTGCTAAGCAGCTTCAAGCAATTGGTCAAAACTTAGTTGCTCCCAAAAGTAATGAAATTATTGCCACCAATGGATTAGCTGTAGCTGTTTTTACAATGAGTTATGTGCTTTACTTTGTAATGTGGGCGCTGGTCGCTGCAATTCCTTGCCAAGACCGTGGCCTTCAGACGCATTTTCATGTCACTAGGCAATTCATTTGGGGTGCTCCACTTCTCTCCCTCCACGAGAGGATATTGGAGGAGTCGAGGAAGAGGGAGCGTAGAAATGCTACTGGATTGTTGAAGGAGATTCGTCAAATCGAGAAATGTGCGCGCCACATGAATGAACTGACTGATACCATTCACTTCCCCCTTTCAGAGGAAAAGGAAGGGGAAGTGAAGCAAAGAGTTCAAGAGCTTGGGCAAGTCTACTATGGCCTAAAAGACGGATTGGACCCTTTGGAGCGCCAGGTAAGACAAGTGTTTCATAAGATTGTTCGAAGCAGGACTGAGGGCCTCAGCTCTATTGGATGAGGGATTCATGAGTTACATAGGTAAAAAATTGAATCAAGGTTCCATTTAGAGTTGTAGTAGTCGAGTGTGTGCGTGTGTGCAACCATTGTTGGAAGAGCAGATTATGATCTCAATTTTCCCCTTGTTTCTTTTCTTTTATTTTTGTTTGCCCTTTTTTAGAGGAGAAGAAGAGGGAGGATGAAATGGTGCAGTGTCCTAAAATAGTTTAAAGAGGTAAAGTTATGTATTTATCACTATGTATTATGTAAAGAATATAAAATAGTTGGATCTTTGGTCCATGTTGTAGTGTTCATTGGGATTGTATTAAAGTTACTCAGTTTTCTTTTAGCTCTGTAACTGAGTTTCTTGTTTATGTTGGCTGTAATTGGTGATATATATATCAATGCATTATGCATTTATTGAAGCTCTTGCATTCTATCTTTCTAATAAAGGAAATTAATCAGCAAGAAGGAAATTAGTCTCCAAGTTACTATCTATCCACATTGTAATGTGTTTAAAAGTTGTTTAGCTGTCTATGATTCTATGAAATAACCATCCATATAAGGAATCTCTTACTTTTGCTTCATTTCTCTTCTAGTTTGGCATTTTTCTTTTGAGTATTTTATGATGGTGCCAAGCTATATTAAACTTCTCTTGTTTCCCATGTTGTCATGGTTAACTCTTGTATTTTGGGCGTTTTTTCCAAATAGTTTTCATATGGTTTCTCGAAGGGAAGCCTTGGCGTAATCGGTAAAGTTGTTGCCATGTGACCCGGAGGTTACCGGTTCGAACTGTGGAAACAGCCTCTTGTAGAAATGCAGAGTAAGTCTGCGAACAATAGATTCTTGTGGTCCTGCTCTTCCCCGGACCCCGTAGCGGAAGTTTAGTGCACCGGATTGCCTTAGTTTTCATATATTTTCTGATCTTTCGTTCCTCAAGTCTGTTTTCTTTGCATTCCACAGCCTACTAGTCACGACTATTTTCTCCTATTGCATGGGATTGCACTTTCTTTTTTTAGTTCTCATTTTCTCCTAACTCAGAAATTCCCCTGTGAAATCCAAGGTCTTTGATCTCTGGAATTCTTGTTATTATTTCTGACATGAGTGCTAGCTTTGTCATGGACCGTCTCTCGGGTCAATAACAGAACTTTGTTAATGACTTATTAAAAGTTTTTTGACCAATGATTATCTGAAGAAGTTGCTGTTTTCTTCTTGAAGTTTTTTGATCTTTCAGGAATACTGATTAAACAATTCTCAGCATGTGAGTTGAAAGGTGGTTATAGTCTCAAGATCTTGGTCAAAGCTGTGGTTTTCTTGTTGACCGAGTCAAAGGTTTTCTTAATGGTAGCCACGTAGGTAATTCTAGTCAAAGAAAGGCATCTTCAGGTAATGACTAATTTGCCAGCATGTTCTTGCTTTCCTTTTTCTTGCTCATTTATTTGATAGGATTTATTAAAGAAGGTTTTTACATTTTTCTCTTGAGCAACATTTCAATCACCTGCTGGTGTGGTTTATTAAAGGTGTTCTTTTGTTTCCGTTATAGTGAATGAACAACAGGTAGTAGTGTAAATATTCTTTACATTGTCGGTGCATAAATCCGGTAAACTATTGGTCATTTTTAAATCAGAATCTAATTTCAACATTTAACAATGTATTCATGTCTCTTTGGAATAAGAGGGAAAAACCTCAGTTCGAAGCTGAATTTGAACATAACTTTTGTAAGCAAATCATGACCTTATAATCAAAGTATAATTGATTATGAAGCAAAGCATATACGCTTTTCTGTCATGTCTAATATATGCTTTTTATTACTACTATTATTTGACTTTAAATCCTTATTTTTACTTGCTCAATCTAGTTTTCCCCAACAATCACCAAAAATGAATCCGGAATTGCAATCCAGAGTAACAAGAGTTGCAGATGAATTCGCCTCTACTGAATTCTTTCAGTTTCCGAAAGATCGAGCTGGCCCTCTTTTCCAGTCTGCAGAAACAAACACTATGTTCATCCTCACTGCTCATCTGAAAGGTTATCTCTGGTGCTTTTGGCACGATGAAAGTCATTTCGGGGAAATATATCCTAGAGAAAGTCCTGATGTTTGATTTCCAAGGAAAACATTTTCTATCATAACTTATGAGCGGAAGTCATTTTCCTTGCAACTATATTAACTTCTAATTGCACATTTCTTGCTCCAACTAATTTTTAGATATTATGGTTAATCTTAGTACTCAAAAATTTCATGAAAACACTATCCGCTTTGCTAATATTATTATTTGTATTTAATATACATTTTTGCCAGAAAATATTTTCTACTCAACAATCCGACATCATGAAAAAATGTTTTTCACGGAGAACATTTTCCATGGAACATGACTTCTGTGATCTGTCATACCAAATATACTCGGATGAATATCTCTTCATTGTTTTTTACCTTATTAGGGATGAAGGTGGACAGATAGTCGCGAGTCTCTCCTAGGCTTGTCAGTAAAACTAATATATGGTTGCATTTGCTTATTCCTGGTTCGTTATTAGTACATGTTGTGTTATTTGCTTCCATTACCCTATTACCTTGTTGTTGCAATTGTTTGTTGATTTAGTTTCACTGTTCCTTGAGCCGTCTACCGGAAACAACCTCTCTCCTCATGCCCCACTCGTGGGATAACACTGGGTTTGTTTAGTGTCACTATTCCTTGAGCCGTCTACCGGAAACCTCTCTCCCCATACCCACTTGTGGGATAACACTGGGTTTTTTGTTGTTGTTGTTGTTGTTGTTGTTGTAGTACGCGAGGAAACATAATTCATTTTGATTCTGGAAAATATTTATGTAGGTTATACGCGAGGAAACATAAAGATTGATATTAATGTGGAAAGGAAGATGATGGTGATAACATGTGAGAAGCCGGTCCAAGAGACTGTAATGGTAGGGTGGACAGTGATCAAGAAAGATGTAGAAATTAGAAAATTTACCAAGGCTTTCAGGATTCCAAATGGGGCGATCTTGGATCAAATTATGACTAATTTTTATGAGGAAGAATCTGTTCTGACTATTACAATGCCAAAGAGGGAGAAGGGAATTGTTGGAATTGGAATTCAGGAAGTGAAGGAGCCAGAGCTTGTTAAAGAAATGCCACAAAAACCATTGGAGGAAAAGGCTTTGGCAGAACAAGTGAGTCAAGAAAGAGAGATGCAATTTCCAGGTTTTCCATCAAATATCCAAAAAGTTGATGAAGATGTCAAAAAACATGGTGCTAAAGATGAAGTTCCTCGAATGGAAACTGAAATGCCAAAAGTAGAACAGAAGAGCCAGAAGATCGATAATATGGTTGAAGAAACAAGGGAAACTCACAGCAATCAAATAGGTGATGATAAACTTGAATCTAAGTGCTTGAAAGATGATAGAGTTTGTGAAAAAGCAAATGGAATTCAAGAAGAAGAGAAGACTGGAGAAGAGGATGAGGAGAAGCTGCCTCAGAGAAGGAGCAAGATGTTTGTACCTGTAGTTGCAGGCTCAGCTGTAATTTTATCTCTTGTTGTCTTTGCGATTCATTTCATGAGAAATAAGAATCGACCTGAAAAAAGAAAAGGTTAGGACTTGGGACAAAGAACATTGTATAATACAATTACCTGATTTAAATCAAAAGAACATTGTATATACACATTTAACTTTGAGAACCTTTTATGGATCCTCATTTAAGTTATATCTGAAGTTTATAAATATTTGCAAGTTTACCTACTTTTGGAATAACTTCATACATATGCAGTTGAAGTTCCAAAATTTCGCGTCTGAAGTTACTAATTTTGCCTGTAGTAGCAAGCTTTACATCCATATCTGAAGTCCTAGCTTTAGACAATTAGGAAGGAAGCAAGCCTAGCAATTCCAAACTTCACACAACTGTCTGATATTTTAATCTATATGTTATGAATTTAACAAACAACACAACTGCAAATAGGAATTGTGAATTGATCTTTCATTAATGGAAACTCAATTACATGGAATTAGAGAATAACTAGATAGACATTAACATAACTAGGATATGGACAGAAAGAAAGGGGATGGGAAGACAGAGCCACAGAAGAAATAGTCGGGAGAGAGACCAAAGAGAGGAAGTTTCTACAAAATTCAACCTGCTACATTAGTGCTACTATTAGGCTATTTAACCATTCCTGTGCCCTAGCTAATATTCTCGTTCCAATGTATCCAATTCATTAACCCGGATCCCATATAAAGCCCGAAAGCCTTTGTGGTGGTCTTTTAGTTCTTTTGCTTTTCCTAGTTGGCCCAATTCTTGCATCTTCAGGCGGCCCAATTCTTGCATCTTCAGGCGGCCCAATGCCATCCTTGAGTCCAAACTCCTCATCCATCATGACATTACCCCCATCCTCAATTAGAACCTTGTCCTCAAGGTTCGAGTAGAGCAACAATGATAACATCAGGGATAAGCTGGAAAGACTCAATTGTGTGTCAAGCAACCAGACATCCTCAGTTAACAAATTATCTTGATAAAAGTTGTAGATTTCTTCAAGCTCAAATTTTCCTTTAATAACAGAATGCATTACATGAGCTACTTTGGTGCGGGAATAATCTTGTTTTTCTCCTAGTTCAAGCCAAACAACTGAGCTATCTATTCCTTCCTTAGTGTGTTTAAAAATCACTCTTGGCATCAAGAATGCCAGAACCCTTGCCACTAATTGTTGTTGCTCATGGCTACTATGCCTTCTATGCCACACCAATAGTGAAGAGCGAGAACATAGAAGGAAACACAATTTATGAATGTGCAGTGAAATTGATTCCTCTAAAGAGTTTCTCACGTTGTTCCTTTGACTACGAGATTGAGCAACCCTCAATTGCATTTGCAACTAATGCACTGTTCTTATGTCTAGATGAGACAAAATACCTTGGCACTATGATCCACATATTAATATTGCTCCACATACATTGCAGTTCACCAGTCTTTCCATGCCACTTAGCACCCACATCTAAACTCTCTGGTACAAGTCCAAAAGTAGCAGATACACTTTTTAAATGGAATGTCGGGACACTATAGTACCTTACTCCAAGCCTTTTGTTAAAACACGTGGCTGTCAAATTGCTTCCAAAGGCATCTATATCCTTGAGTAAAAACTTCTCTGAAATATCAAGTTCCAAGTGTTGCACCTTATAGTCATCATGCAATGCCAACAACAAAATAAGGAATTCTAGTGACGAATTAGATTGTAAAATATATGCAGTAACACACCATGGTTCTCCAGGATCCCACACTTTAGTCATAAAGTTAGAAAACGGAAACTTGCATGTACATCCCAACAAAAGTAATTCCTCGACGTTCTCTGTAGAACCTGTTAGAGCCAGGAACATATAACTTATGCCTGGATCCCAAACACACAAATCCATCGCAGTAGGATTAAATGGAAACCGATTCCAAATATATTGATCACTGAACATGGTATCAATAGGACAAGCCGATTTCCTAAGGATTCTCTTGAAATCAGCCACCACTATATTTGAACAACCCTTGCACAGACTATATACTTTCATCTGAAAGGCAAACTGCAATACACTCACCATGTTGTCCGTCCAGATTGAAAGAAAACCTTCATCATGTTCTACTCCTCCGTTGGATTTTCCATGCACAACTTCAGGCACTAGTGTATCAGAATGCATTGCACTTGTTGGAATGCCATCCTCATTCTCCATAAAAACTTTATCAAGATATAAATCCGGAATAGGCTCAGGTTCTAAGAAAAATTCAGCATTATCAAGAGAAGTTGCAGCAATGTACCTCTCGTAACTTTCATCAAACAGTTGGACAACGCTGCTCGCAATAGCTGTAGCTTCTTCATCCGGTATTTCTATTGGAGGTTTTGGAGCATTGTCATCACTACTTAGCTTGGCCTCCAAATCAGCAGTAGGTGAGAGGTCAAATACATCAGAAGAATTGAGGCTATTGCTCAGAGGAGCATAGGCAGGCCGCTGGGTTTTAGGAGGGACCGAAATTTCGAAATGAACATAGTCAAAACGAGTCTGTGAGAGATAGGCCAGACGCTCCACCGAATCTGCAAAAGTCCGTTTCTGAAAGCGCATAACCAATTTCTCAGTAAAATGTTTCCAATCAAAGAACTGTTCATTGCGGTAAAGCCAGTCGAACCAAGCGAGTGCATCGCCGCCGAGGTAGAATGAAGCGAGAGATAGCCAATAGTCCTTGGGGATATGACGAAAGTTGAAGTACCACTCCGCCTGACAAATCCAGCCCGCTGGATTACCCCCGGTGAATCGATCTAAAATGACCACTGTCTCAGAAGAATCTACCATGGAGTACGAGCAATGAAAGCACCAATGTTATGAATTTAACAAACAACACAACTGCAAATAGGAATTGTGAATTGATCTTTCATTAATGGAAACTCAATACATGGAATTAGAGAATAACTAGATAGACATTAACATAACTAGGATAGGGACAGAAAGAAAGGGGATGGGAAGACAGAGCCACAGAAGAAAGTCGGGAGAGAGACCAAAGAGAGGAAGTTTCTACAAAATTCAACCTGCTACATTAGTGTTACTATTAGGCTATTTAACCATTCCTGTGCCCTAGCTAATATTCTCGTTCCAATGTATCCAATTCATTAACCCGGATCCCATATAAAGCCCGAAAGCCTTTGTGGTGGTCTTTTAGTTCTTTTGCTTTTCCTAGTTGGCCTAATTCTTGCATCTTCAGGCGGCCCAGTGCTATCCTTGAGTCCAAACTCCTCATCCATCATGACACTATAGCTGGCTATTTCCCTTGCGCCTCCTGAGATTATACCTCTGTAAAGAGACTCCTGCATAGTATTAGTAAGTTGAAGCCTTTCTTGATCAGTAAGTAGAAGATTTTATTGATATGTATATCCGAAAAGCAAAAGATATTTTGCCTTCAAGTATAGATGATATCTATCATTGTTTTACCTCATTTACATACTTCATTTTATTTATTTTAAAAAAAAAAACAAAGCAAAACAAAATCGTTGAAATTAATCTTCAACTTCCCTTCAAAAACTCTCTGATTCATTTCTTTACCATATGCATGCTTGAATTGAGCTCAATATCTTCTTCATGCCCTTGCTAAATAGTTCTTCTCTGCTTCTTGTCATTGTCCTGTTCAATCCAAGATATTCCAAAGTAGATTCCAGAGCATTGAACCTAAGACCTCATGGTTCTAATCCACTTTATTGACCATTAGGCCACACCCTTGGGTGCAAATTTACCATGGACTTTCTGTTATTAAAATATCTAATGTTAAAAAAAAACCTCCTAATTATTTAAATTTCTTCTGATGTCAATGTTTTAGCCTTTACCTTCTACGCATGGCTTCTGTCTGTGTTTCTGGCCAGATCGAACAATGTTTGGAATTGCTCTTTTGGTCTTTTAGAGTTGTCATGCAGAAGAATACATCTTGTAGGTGATTCTTTTAACAAATCTCCATTCCATATATGTTTAATTCACTGACATGATTAGTAAATCATTCACTTTGCTTGCCTTACTTTTCTTCGATCACATACCTCCGTAAAATTATCAAGGAATAAAAATTCGAACAATATATCAATCTGATGAGGATGGACAAAACAAAGACTAAAACACATGCTGCTTGAGTTGATTTCTATTAAAGATGAATGAAAGCAATATGTTTCTACAGATACTAGTAACGGGTAGGCCCGTGCTGAGCCCGGGCCCGAGCTCAAATATTTAAGATTGTAATTATTATAATTTATTATATTTCTAATCAGAATACAACAAGAAAATATTAATATCCTTGTAAAATGTTGAATAATAAAATATTAGTATCCTTGTAAAATGGTTCTGTATCTTTTTTTCCCTTAAAAAAGAGAATAGAGGTTTATTTAGGAGCTCAACCTTTCAGCCAGTCGTGTCAGGCTCAATGAAGTTCATATGGTCAGCTAATTCAAAAGAATATCGTAAGCGTCATTGAAAGAGAAAATCAATGGAAACTACACTTTGAATTGGTAATAGTTAGAGAAAACATCAACTCAAAGGACCCCTCTAAGATAAAAATAATAACGGATACATATCACTTTAAAAAAAAAACAACGGATCTACCTTATGGTGTCACAAGTTATAAATATAAACACACATGACCCCCAACATTAGGAGATGCGAATATACTGAAATGACCAATGCTGCTGATACGCTCACTTGGAAAATCACATGTTTTTTCTTAACATGAACAAGAAATTGTGTCCGAAAATTAATTTGTTATATTCCCTTTTGCATCAAGAAGCTTACACTAATTAATCCAGTTAGTATCAAGCGATGACTTTTATCAGTACTACCCCTGTACTCCCTTTTGCATCAAGAAGCTTACCCTACTTTATAACGTCCGTTGGCAGCCAAATTTAGGGGGAAGTGCACGGCTAGCCACTAATAACACATGTATTTACTTTTAAGTCACCGTTTAAAATGTCTTTAGTCTTTAGCCACTGTTTTAATAAACTTTAACTGCCCGGACGAAAATACCCTTCTGCTCATGTCCTTAACTTTTGTACTTAACTTCAGGACTTCAGGACTACATGTCCTTAACTTTTGAACTTGGAACTGTAAGTATATCATGCCAAACTTCTATGGAAAGTTTATAGTTCATATATATGCTTTATGATTTTATTAACAAGCATTTATGTGACGACCCGACCCGTCGTCTCATGAGTT